AGAAAGAAAGAAAGAAAGAAAGAAAGAAAGAAGAAAGAAAGAAAGAAAGAAAGAAAGAAAGAAAGAAAGAAAGAAAGAAAGAAAGAAAGGGAGAAAGAAAGAGAGAAAGAAAGAGAAAGAAGGAAAGGAAGAAAATAAAAAAGAGAAGAAATATTTTCATCTCCTATAGAAATATTTCACGTGCTACCCATAATCTAGCAGTGCTCTGAAAATAGTAACAGAGTCTTACCTTACTTCCATTTTCTCTTGTCTCTCGGTCCATCTTGAGGTCAGAGATTAGAATATTCTTGTATTTGTTTTTTCCATTGCTGCCGTGGTCCTCTATTCGGTACTCTGAAGTCAGCTGCGCAGAGAGGGGACTGTCACTCAGGTTCAGTGGCTGTTCCTCCTGCTCTAGCCCCGCTTTGCCGTCACTGTTGGTGTCCCCCGTCTCCCTGCCGTGCGCTCCCCCTGAAGCAATCGAGCTGTGCCCCAGAGCCTCATTGCCGTTAAAGCTCTCTGCGGCAGAATCATCTGTTGGGAAGAAAAATTCATAATTCGATTTTAATTAACATACTGCTCATTTTCTATTTTTAACTAGCTTTTGCTGAGCATCTATTATGTGGGTGGCACCGTGCCAACCAATGCCATGTCTAAGGTGTACATAACGTGAGGCAGCTATTGTTTTTTAAATGTAGTAGGCCCATGAAAGAACAAGGAGTGACACCAAGTAATGGGAAGAAGATAGACATTTCATTATTAAATGCAGTCTCACAGTAAAGATTAACAAACAATAACAAAGAGGTAACAATCATCAGTTACCTCTGTTGGAAAAATATTTTATTTTTCAGAAAGAATACCTAGATTTGGTAAAAAAAAAATTTCCCAATTAAATTGCATCATCTATCCTGTTTAATGGAGATAGACAGTGGTAACATTTCCTGAGTGTTTAATGGGCATCTAGTACATTATAAATAAAGTTTGTGTCAGTCATTACTTTTCTCAGATGTTAGGCCAATGAGGTTCAGTTATTCTATATGTCACAGTGTAGGTGAAAACACATTCATAGGAGCACTAATTTGAGTAAAAAATATTTACAATTGACATAACTAACAAAAATGGAAGACTAAGTTAGTAAATGTTGGAATAGCTACAATACTGTTGTTACTCGGCATTCCATTTAAGGTACAGGAAAATAGGAGGCGCGAAAGCACAGAATGGAGAAAGCCTCTGTGGCCTACATGACATCTATTTTGGAAGAAGAAAGCAAATAAATTTTATATAAACTATAATGTTCCATCTCTCAGCCAGACGTGGTGGTGCACGTCTGTAACTTCAGCACTCGAGGCTGAGGCAGGAGGATTTCTGTGAGTTTGAAGCCAACCTGAGTCACACAGTAAGTTCAAGGCAGGCCTAGAGTAGATAGTGAAACCATATCTCAAAAATACTGTATATTCTCAATTTCATCTTTACCTATATGATAAGAATCTGTTGCTAATTATAATACACCAAAGTATTAAATTATTAAAGACTATTAATGAAACATTAAGAATGTATGGAAGATTGAACAAATAACTGAAGATTAATGCTTGCTTTCAATAAAACAATTTTTTCTTGTCTTTTTTCCCTTTTTTTCTTTTTTCACTTTTTACAAAATTTATTTTAAAGAGAGTATAATAATAAGCAAGACATAAGAAACAGTTCAAGATGAGAGGTATTCAACTGTGGTTTCTGTATTGCACATTACCGTTCTCAGGGTAGTTGCTCAGATCACAGGTAACAGCATACAGAATTAGTCAAAGTGAAAATTCTAAACATTAACTGCTATTTTCAGAAAAACTAATGGAAATTATTAGAACAATCATCTCAGCTATCCTGTACATATACTTGCATGATTTTTCTCATTCCTTTTTTCCTATATTTTCTCCTTTCCCTCATCTTTGTTGTTTAATCCCAGTTGTTTTCCCTTTTACTATATCTGTTATACCTTTTAGATTTTATTTATTCTTTAAGATTCTTATACCAGGAGACTACATGATATTTACACATGTGGGTCTTTTTTATTTTACTTATCAGTGTAGACTCTAGTTGCATGCACTTAAGTCCTTAAGTTTGTCTTTCTTTATAGCTGAGTAATACTCCATTGATGAAAACTCCACAACTTTTTCATCCATTCATCAAGTGATGGGCATTTTGATTGTTTCCAAAATTTGGCTATGACACATTGTACTACTATAAACATGATTAAATTAGCTAGGGGCTTATCACTGTTACTTAATCTTTCAAAGAACCAGCTTTTTGATTCGTTAATTTTTTGTATTTTTTTGTCATCTCGATTACATTAATTTCTGATGTAATCTTTATAATTTCCTCCCTTCTTTGGGCTTTGAGTTTGGTTTGCTCTTCTTTTTGTAGATGTTTGTGGTGCAGCATTAGAGTATTTATTTGTTCCCATTCTGTTTTCTTAATGTGTGAGTTCACCATTACATATTTCCCTCTAAGAACTGCTTTCAGTGCATCCCATAAATTCCACTAAGTTGTGCTTGAATTTTCATTGAATTATAGATATTGTTGAATTCCTTATTTAATTTCATCTGTAGTCCATTGATTGCTGAGGAAGTTGTTGTTTAATTTCCATGTATTTATGGGGTTTTCATGGTTTCTTTTGTTATTTATTTTCAATTTCATTGCACTCTGCTCACATAATATGCATGAGATAATTTCTGTTTTCATGCATATGCTTAAGCATGACCTGTGGACTAGTATGTGGTCTATTTTAGAAAATGTCCCATGTGCAGCTGAAAGCAATGTGAATTCCGATGTAGTTGGGTGGAACAGTCTGTATATGTCCACTAAGTCCATTTGTTCCAAATTCTGGTTCAGTTCTGCTACTCATGGGTGCACATATATTGCTATGGTATGATGTTTTTAGTTCTTTTGCAAAAATATCCAGAAGGGGAATAGCTTAGATACCTATATCTGTTAATGTGAGCAACAGATTTGATCATAAAAACATAAAATTACAACCATTGTTAATTTGTTATTCTTAATTTGAAAATCTGTAGCATGTGTCTTGTTGTGTTGCTGTTTCTGCTATTTGTTCTTGCTCTTGATTTTGATTTTACTCTTCAAATGAAATGGAATCAAAATAAATAAGTAACTACATGTATTTAAAACAAAAACAAAAGAATGTATACAAACAAATAATAGTAGTTAACACGTGATTCTTTTAGTTTGATTTCTGAATATCATCAAGTGTGCATTTTTAGCTTATGAAATATTTAATGTCTTACATTCAGGGAACTATTTAAACATTTAATTTAATTTCAATTATATGTCACTTGTTCATATAACTCTTTAACAAACATTAAGTTCCTACCTTGTGGCCAATATGCAGTTAAATATTTGGCTTTCAGAGACTGCCTCGCATGAGTTAGTAGTTCACAGATAATGAAAAGAGACAGAAAAATAAACATGCAATTAAGATGCAGACAAAGAGATTATGATCCAAGAACAGGATAAAAAAATCACTGAAGGGCTGCACTCTAAGAACCAAAGAGCACAATTTTAATTTTTTGTTGGAAAAATCCTATTTTAAAAGATTATTTCTAACTCTGATGAGGACATTAGCAAGAAGGTGACAAAGTGGAGATTGAAAAGATCAGTAAAGAGATCCAGAAGTTTCCTAAATTGTCACCCATGAAATTCAAACTGAAGAAATGGTGGTACAAGAGAGAAAACAACCAGAGATGCCATAGGCAAGAATAGGTCATGGAAAAGAGGAGGCATCGGTCCAGCACGAAGGCCAGGGCTCTCAGAGGGAAGCAAAGTGAATTAACATTAATTTTCAGAAAAAATGCTAAGCAGATGTTCAAAACTTGTGCAAAAGCTAAAACATACTCAAATGGTACAAGTACATTTTTTATGTACCCATTCAAGAGTAGGGCCATAGAGAAAAAGTGGAAAAAAATTTAAAAATCATACAAAAGAAAAGTTAGCAAAGTGGCCATAAATATGAAATAGCAGTTTCCATTGCCATTCATTTGAGAAATCAAAACTAACAAAAATTCTAGGTGAAACTAGGAAGTGGAGCTATACTAGTGAGATCCTGTCTCAAAATCTATAAGTTAAAAAGGGCTGGCTGGAGGTGCAGCTCAGTGTGAAGTCCTTGGCTTTAATCCCCTGTAACAGGTGGATGAGGAAGCTTTAACAAAGAAATGTGCAGGGATTTTGAAATATAAAATTAGGGGATGATTTAGATAAATAATTTGGAAACTGCATGGTCTGTTATTCTAGTTGAAGTCCTGGTGCTAAAATATGTTATTTCTTTTTTCTTTCTTTCTTTTTTTTAAAAAATGTATTTGGTACAAGGTCTCTCTCTCTCTGCACAGCTCAGACTCGTAGTGATCCTCCTGTTTACAGCCTCCCCTGCTCTGGGATTGCAGGCATGTGCCTCCACATCTGCTCATGGTTGCTGGCTCAGTGCACTGGGGGCCAGCGCCAGCATGGCATGTGATACTAGGGATCAAACCCTGGTCCCCGTGCTTGCCTAAGCAGGCATTTAGTATGCTGAGCTATCTAGCTGGCCCATGATAAGTTATTTCTAATTTTTAAGTTACTCTTTTACGAGAAAATCCAAAGGAAAAGCACAATACGCATAACCAAATATAATTAATTCATGGAAGAAAATATTTAAAACTTATGCTCTTAAAATACTAAACATTTCATGTAAGAAAGATTTATCCATATAGCATAACTACCTCAAAATGTATATACCTAAATGATTTTAAAACCAAATATGTGTTAGCCTAAAAGAAATTCAATTTCTATTATAGCTAAAAATTAAACATGTTGTATCTATTCTTTTAATGAAGTTACTTACTAGCTTTATCTACCTAATAAATACTATATCAATTCTTCATTTTAGGTAAGATAAACATTATCATTAATCAAGACAGGTTTTTATAAATGTTATTTAATTATAATTTTGGCATAAATGTAAACAATAAAGGAGAAATATTTTTAGATTCGCCCCAGATGCTACCAAGGTAATGAAATGCAGCAGGTTCACATATTGAATTCCTGAGAAAATCAGTGCATTTTTAAAAGAACTAATGGGTGATTCATATTTGTTTGTATCAAATATATATTCACCTATTTTGTAAATGAGATGGTAAAAAAAATATGCCTTATGCTACTGTTTTATAAATTAAAAGTTTAAAACAAAGATTTTTATTTAAAAAATCTAACATAACAGCGAGTGAAAAATTACAGACAATAAATTAGCATTTTCACACTGGCTAGTTTCACGTTAGGACATTGGCAATTTTTTCTCTTCCTTAGAGATGCTGTTTGTCTTAAAATTTAAAATCTCAGCCTTCACACTCCGCTTTACTACACGCAGTTCACTCTTCCTTACCCAGCACCGACAGTTGCACCCCAAATGGACCCCCTTGTGGGCGCCAGGCTGCTACCCAAAACCCCTTCTTGGCTCTGCGGGGAGCCTCCACGGTCCCAGGCCCAAGGCGACGGCT